TAAAATAAAATAAAAATATCAGCTGAATTCAAATAAGTAAGGTGAACAAATTAGGTTAATATACCAAATGTATTCATTCTGATTAAAAAACCATTTCAAGGATCTTTCTGTAGAGCATTGATAACCAACTGAATTTAATAAATGCCAGTGCTTTTTGACAGGATTCCGAAAATTAAATCAAGGATCTAAAATTTGGTGGCTTTTTTGGAACTTTTTTTTCCTGTCTTTATTCTGTCTAAAGGCAAACATTCACCAACACTGCCCAACTAAAATGAATGTTAAAAACCGATCTAAAAGGTTTATGCTCTAAAATATTAGCTTCTCAAACAATATATATTCATTTTAGAACAGTCAATGCAAAGATTAAAGTCATTTTAAGATTAAAACTTTGGAGCTCACCGATCAAACTGTTTATTGAAATAATCCAGAACCTACTACATGCAGGCAGTAATTATAGATGATTACACCAAAAGTAATGTTTTAATTGTTCTTAGTGAAAGATATAGAAAACCTGTCGAGAATCTGGGATTTAAAATCTTAAACTTTCTAATCTATCATTTGGAATATGTATGAGTCTAAAAATCTGAAAATTTCTCCCATAGAAAATTATCCAACCTATGGAAATATCCCTATTTAAGAAAGGACAATTTACATGAAATCAACAAAATAATATACACCCCTAAAAATAATTACAAAAATTATGTTTTGTTACCTGAGCAACATCCTCAAGTTTATTCCACTTGATTGACAGCAGTAATTTTGGCAGTGACTGTGGGAAATTCTCTCTGCAATCTTGTCGCAAAGTCCAAATAAGATCCATTTCATTCTCACACAACTGAGACAAGGGATCCCTGTCCAAGATTTCTTTCAGTACAGCAAGAAACTTTTTTCCACCTCGACTCTAAGAAAGTAAAATTATTCATTCATTACATAATTTAATTCTACGAACATCACTGGCAAACCCATAGCAAATTTATATACAATGAATTTATAAACAATTTATAATCTTTAAGATAAGATACTAAAGATCTAATTCCTTAAAAAGATTAATAAAGATGGATGCCCTTTTTATAGGTTGATAGCATATTAAATTTGTAAGCTAAGGATGAAAGTATTCTCAGTTCTAAAAAGGGGGTTTCCCCTTCCTGTTTCTTTAAAAATCCATATGCAAACACTAGGTGGCAGAATTGCAATGTGGATTTAAAAGTCCTTTATTCTTTAAACTGAATTTCTTTCTATCCTTCCATTTTAATTTTCAATTTCTATAAACAAACAAATCAACAAAGACAAACCAAACATACAAAGTTTGTTTTTGTTTTTTTAAGATTTTATTTATTTGTCAGAGACAGAGAAAGAGCAGAAGCAGGGGGAAGAGGCAGGCAGGGGGAGAAGCAGACTCCCACTGAGCAAGGAGCATGATGCCGAACTTGATCCCAGGACCCTGGGATCATGACTGAGCCAAAGGCAGACGCTTAACTGACCGAGCCACTCAGGCATCCCCAAACATACGAAGTTTAAAAAAAAAAAAAAAGTATAAGTGTCTTGTTGGCTCAGAGGCATCAAAACCATTTAGATTAAGAATCGAATCCTGGATAAAACTAAACATGAAACAAATACTGTTATCCCATTTTCTTTCCCAATCTGTACAAGAATAGCCTAAAATAATGAACATGGCCCAAACTATTTTTTGGATCTAGACTCTGAATTGTAGTAACACTGAAAGAAAGAGATTCATTTCCCATACTTAAAGTTGAACTATACCATTTAGGCCAAAATACATATAAAAAACAAACAAACAAAAAATAAAACAGGGGCACCTGGGTGGTTTAGTCAGTTGAAGGTTGGACTCCTGGTTTCGGCTCAGGGTCATGAGATCAAGCCTTGTGTTGGGCTCCTGCTCTGTGCGGAGTCTGCTTGAGATTCTCTCTCCTTCTCTCTCTGCCCCACCCCCACGGCTCACATGCTCTCTTGTGCATTCACTCTCTATAATAAATAAATCTTAGGGAAAAAAAACCTCTCCAGAATTATCTGACAAGATTCTGTAAAAATTTATATTCTATTATATTCTATTATTATGTAATTTTGTACTTTATGTTTTTAACTGGAATTTCATTTAAGCATTAAAATAGTCATACTAGGGGCACCTGGGTGGCTCAGTCGTTCAGCCTTCGGCTCGGGTCATGATCCCAGGGTCCTGGGATCGAGCCCCGGGTCATGCTCCCTGCTCAGCAGGAAGCCTGCTGCTCCCTCTCCCACTCCCCCTGCTTGTGTTCCCTCTCTAGCTGTCTCTGTCAAATAAATAAATAAAATCTTAAAAAAAATAAAATAGTCATACTAGTTTTCTAAAGTCATGAGATTCAAAATAATACATATGTACAAAAGAATGGGGATTATGATTATCTACATAGACATAATTGTCTATGTAGAAAATCTGAAAGAATCAACAAAAATATTGGAACCAATGCATAATTAAAGCAAGATTGTAGGACACAAGTTTAGGAAACAAAAGTAAACTGCCTTCCCATATATCAGCAATAAACAAGTGGTATTTGAAATTAAAAATCTAATACCACTTACATTAGCACCCAAAAATATGAAAACCTAGGTATAAAACTAACAAAATATGTACAAAATCTATATAATGAAAATTACAGATCTCTGATAAAAGAAATCAAATAACTAAATAGGTATTTCATGTTCACAAATAGGAAGATTCAATACTGTCCAAATGTCAGCTCTTCTAATGTAATCAACAGATTCAATGCAAACCCAATCAAAATTTTGTAGGTATTGACAAATTGATTCTAAAGTTACACAGAGAGGCAAAATACCCAGAACAGCCAACACAATATTGAAGAAGAAAAAGCTGAAGGACTGACACTACCCAACTTAGTAAAAATAAATGTGAAATACAGAAACTATAAAACTCCTAGAAGATAACATAGCAGAAAACCTAGATGACCTGGGGTTATCTTTGGCAATGACTTTTTACATATAACACCAAATGCATGATCCATCAATAAAAGAATTGATAAATTAGACTTCACTATATTTAAAATTAACTCCTCTGTGAAAGACACTGTCAAGAGAATGAAAAGACAAGCTACAGACTAGGAGAAAATATCTGCAATAAGACTTATCTGATAAAGGACTGTCATCCAAAATACACAAAGAACTTTAAAACTCAACTATTAGAAAATAAACCATCAAACTAAAATACGAGTCAAAGACCTGAACAGACACCTCACCAAATAAGATGCAGACTCGTCAGGGAAATGCAAATTAAAAAAAATGAGGTAAGACCACACATCTATTAGAATGGCCAAAATCCAGAACACTGACAACATCGAATGCTGTCAAGGATGTGGAACAACTCTTATTCATCGGTGGTGGGAATGTAAAATGCTACAACCACTTAGGAAGACAGTTTGGCAGTTTCTTACAAACTAAACATACTCTTACCATACAATCCAGTAATCACGCTTCTTGGTATTTACCAAAAGGAGGTGAAAACTTATGCCCACAAAAAACCTGCACACAGGGACGCCTGGGTGGCTCAGTCGGTTAAGCGTCTGCCTTCGGCTCAGGTCATGATCCCAGGGTCCTGGGATCGAGTCCCGCATCGGGCTCC